GTAGCTACTTCAAACTATCGTCAGTCATGAAAAGATCCGGTCAAATGACACGAGTTTAGATCTATGAACAAGGCACGAAAAGGAAAAGAATCGGCGACAGGCCACATCAGGCCTACATTTCAGCGCCGACATCATTATGTTATGTTATGTTATGTTAAACAACCCAGATCGGATCACAGATTCACAGTCACAGCACCAATGAAAAGATGATTACCTACATTACTAAATGCCAATGAATATGAATGTCATACCCGTTCTGCTCCTTGTCAGTTCATCACCAGCCCTGCACCTGTAAACAATAAACTTGCCTCACACCTTAGGTACTCCAGCCTCTGACTCTGAGTGTCTTGAATTTTGAAAACCTGTATTCCCGTATTATCAGCTCAATCTTTACACTGCGATGAGCTCCGATGTTAGTACACTGAAATCAGGATGCAGCCTTGTAGGAGGAAAGAAATAGTTCGATTTTGTGCGAGAATAAATATAAAGGCTTTTTTCGGGAGGGCAGATTACATTTTTTCACATCGACCAGCAGGCTCGCTGCAAAGTACATGTGATGTCCACAAAGAAGGAAAAGTCACATGTCCGTCACGACGGAACAATTTCATTATCTATTTCGTTCTTAACAAAATGCTTCTTCCGTGGCTTCTTCCATGTAGCCATATGGAGATCAATACACTGACGAATTTATTTATGAAAAACTACATTTCAATGTAGAATTTTTTCAACTCGACTTTCTTTCACGCGAGTCAGTGAGATTTTTTGAACTTTTTATATATGTACTTCTTTTATATACCCGTACATTTTTCTTAGCCCGAAAAGTCTTCTTGTGTCAACAAATGCTCATATCCTTAGTTTGCTCGGATCGCAAATTTGCCAAGAATGTAAAAGCAATGAATATACATTAAAAATTATCACACGAGGGGAAAAAATTCTATATTGCTCTACACCCAGCAGTTAAATTTCTACATTAGTTTACCTAAACATTAGTTTACCAAATTAAAAACGTTTGTTTCCGAAAATTCCGCCTGTTTTTTAGACGCCTGTTTCCGTAAATCAATATATAACAATCCTAGTACCAGGTCATTGAGCTTTTATATTTTTGTTTGAAAATGAATGGTAATCGAACAATAAAGAGCGCCTTTCCCGTATTTTCTACCTTCTATGCAATTCACTCATAATTTAATTTTTTTACTGGATTGAAGGCGATGGGTCATATTTATTGATGTTGATGAAAAATCCTTAGTTGCATACAATGAAAAGTATTTTGAGATTTAATTGTTTGTTTCCTTTTAAAGCACTTGGTTGCTAGTAATCTATAGATGTTTGAGAACCTCTCGGACAAATTTACGGCCGGACCCGTGGCCGGTCTCGCGGCCGCCGGACTCCAACATAGAAAAAACCTAGCCAATCAACGAAAACCTCGCAGGTTAGGTCCAGTTAGGAACAGGTTCCATTAAAAACACAAAAAACCTAGAAAAACCCGTAAAACACTAAGAAAACCTTTCCGGTCGCGAGACCGGCCGCGGGTCCGGCCGTAAATTTGTCCGAGACCTGTTTGAGGCTTCAATCCGCCTCATATATTCGATGCAGTAAGAGCTAAGGTGACGTCAGCAGGCTCCTATACGTCAGCACCAGTCAGACCAACAGATATTTTTCCGAGCAGGGAAGTGAGATTGTTATTTTCAGCACTTTATTGAAAACGACAGCAACGATGGATAGTGCTGATACAGAGTAAATATAAACAACATTAGCATTACATTAACAACATTAAAAACAACAACATTAAGAACAACATTAGCAAGAATGACCTCAACGAATGACTCGTACTGAATAAACTGGTCGTAAAAAAGTTCTAAAATCTAGAAATCATAAAAATAACATATGTATAATTTCAGTATCCCCAACATCTATTAATGTTGCCTTTATTTGTAATTGGCTCACTTGAAAATTATTTAATTGAATAATCAAATAATATGAGTTAGTCAATTAAGCTGAATTTTTGCATTACTTAAATAAAAGGTCAATTTGACGCAAGATGTCTAGTGTGCAATCCTTGACTGAATTTATAACGTAGAATGGCTTTGTTTCATTTCAGACCGCCGCATGATACGTTGATGGAAATAAATGTAAAACATAACGTAGGCATTTGAAATGGCGTAAATACAATATTGGGTATTGTGGAGAGAACTCGATTGTTTCATTTGAAACTATAATATTAACTCGGCTACCATTTGGTGTTTCAGGTTGTAAAGTGGAACAATTTTTTAATCTCTATAGGGGCTCTAAAGTTTCAATCGCCTTACATGAAATGGAAAACATGAAGTTAACTTTGGGGATGGTCAATTATTTTTCGTTTCAAACGTTTCTTCTTAAAATTGATTATTATATTGCACAAGTCAGATTTTTGTTTCATGAGCTTGGTCACGGCGTCGATGTTAAATGACCAAATATATGACATGACCTGGAATAAATAATTTGGCTATAACAGTGATTGGCCCGATAGCTGATTATTTTCATTTTTATGAAGTGTGAATTTGAATTTTTCCACCACCGATAAACTACAACTATAGTGTGTATTGACCAACAGAACAGATGACAATGAGTGGAGTGAAGCCGATGGTGGAAAGATGTAAAACATCAACGTTTTGGAATGAAGATGCTACACTTTTTATTTCAGATTAGAGTATCGAGATTGAAGCAGAGAGATTAGAGTTCGACCCCAGCTCTGTGCGTAAGTCCTTGTCAGAACCAGCGAGGTGATCGGGCGGCTAAGCACAGCAAAATTGGAGCAGTGAGCTGCCTGTTCGAGACCGCAACAAGCTGTAAATTAATGTTCTGCGATGTTAAGAATCGGCGACAGAGCTAAGCTTTCGATGCTCTCATTATCTTCGAATAAAATTTTCGCCACGAGGTAAAAATTATATTATAGTTTGGAATCCAACTCTCTTCATCGTTTATTGCTGCCACGATCAATCGTTGTGAATGAAATTCTCAGCTAATATTCTGATACTATACGTATTCAGGATCACAGGCTCCAAAAGCCCCTATATATTTTCCGTGCCAGCCTCCAAACATACTCACGCATATACATTCAATGTCAATGATATTGAGTGTAATTTTCTCGTCTGCAATAAAACTTACATTAAATCTTTATGTTTCGGGATCATAATTTAGCTGGTGTGCGTACATATTGGTTACGCAAACTCAAGTTTTATTGCCGTAGAAATACAATTTTAATCAGAATGCTTCTCACCACTCACTCCATTCACTTTTGTTTTCGATTTTCTTCGATTTTGCGAAGTTCAACTCTTCGGATTTTGCCGCTCACAGTTTTAGGCAGACTCCTCACGAACTCGATCTGCCCACGAGAAAATCTATGAACAAATGTCATCAATAAACATTATCGATCTAAATGCCACTAGTACACAGTACATAAAAATATTTAACCGTAAATACTCTAGTAAAAATTGACTAAATAAACTTAATTTAGCTTATGTGCTTAACAATTGGTTAAGACGATTAGATATACAAAACAAACACAGTACCATACTTCAAAATATTTAACCGTAAATACTCTAGTAAAAATTGACTAAATAAACTTAATTTAGCTTGTATGCTTAACAATTGTTAAGACGATTAGATATGAAATAAAATTGAACCGAAAATGTTTCTCATCCCCCATTTGAAGAACAACTAACCTGCCTGGGGTATTTGTACGGAGCTGTGTTCTGCCTCACGTGTTCTTGAAGCTCCTGCATTAGACGCTCCGCTCCTCCCTCATCTTGAATTCCTTGCGCCGCTTCTTCCGACAAAACGATGAAGGCTTTCACGATCTGTAAGGTTCATTGTTTATTAAAAGGAATTGATGTTATGACAATTTGGCGGGTATCTTGATGGGCAGGGTGGCCCAGGGGTTAAAGTTCAGAGTACCAAGATTGGCGCAGAGAGGCGCGGGTTCGATCCCAGCTCTGTGCGCCAGTTTCTGGTCAGAATCGGAGAGGAGGCCGGGCGGTTAAGCACAGAAAATTTGAAGCAGTGAGTTGCGAGTTCAAGCCCGCAACACGCTGTGGATGTTCTGCAATGTTAGGAATCGGTGACAGGCCTAATAAAAGCTGAAACCGCTATATTATATTACGTTAGTAACCGTTTTGCGAACCGTAACTTCCCAGGAATCAGTTATTTTATGTTTTAGGGTTGTTGACTTTGAGCTATCATCCTTGTCAGACGTCTCCCTCTTATCTATCTATTACGTGTACAAACTGATTGCTGTTACTTCACTTCCACGTCGTGTCTACGTCTACACGGGAATTTCACGTGGCCACGTCGTATCTAGGTACGTCTACACGGGAATCTCACGTGGCCACGTTGGTAGTCCGGCACGCCGACGACGGCAGCCTCCGAGACGCTGCGGTGCTCGAGCAGCACAGATTCCACCTCGAACGGCCCCACGCGGTACCTGATTGTAAACGTTACACAGCACATCAAACACGCGGTATCTGCGTGTACATGTTACACAGCACATAAAACACGCAGTACCTGATTGTAAACGTTACACAGCACATCAAACACGCGGTACCTGCGTGTACATGTTACACAGCACATCAAACACGCGGTACCTGAGTGTACATGTTACACAGCACATCGAACGCGCGGTACCTGTGTGTACATGTTACACAACACATCAAACACGCGGTGCCTGAGTGCACATGTTACACAACACATCAAACACGCGGTGCCTGAGTGCACATGTTACACAGTACATCAATTAGCTATCCCCCTCTCTTAGATCCTTTGGTAGGATGTTAAACAGCCTCGGCCCTGCCATGGAAAGTGATCCTTCCCGCAGGGATGGAAATCGGACTGCAGATCTGTTACGTAATGGGGGGGGATCTGGCACAGTCTCCCGCTTCTCTCGTTGTGATGTGTCTCAATCCTGAAGGTCTCGCTCTCGAAGTTTGGCACCATTCCGGTTATCATTTTCCATGTGTACAGAATGACATACCTCTCCTGTCTCCTCTGCAATGAGTACATACCCAGGCGCCTTAACCTCTCCCAGTAGTTCAACTATTCCATCACTCTGATCCTGGAAGAGACGGTTCACTGGACACCTTCCAGTTGTCCCACTGCTCCGAGTGTGAACGCGGTCAAGAGCTGGCAGCAGTATTCAAGAATTGGTATTACAAGGGCTCTAAAGAGTGTGATCATTGGTTCCGCTTCTCTTGTTCGGGCTCGTTAAATCCACCCCATCTGTCGCCTACCTCTTGCGGTTATTGCCGTTACGTGATCACCAAAATTGACCTGAGTATTCATCAACACTCCTAGATCGCGAACGATTCGCTTCTCTTCGATTTCCGAGTTGGCAGGTGCTAGGTAGCGGTGCTCCATACCAGCTCTCCCACAACCTCTGCATCTCAAAATCTCGAACTTGGTCCGTTGAACTGCATGTTGTTTACTTGGGCCCAGTCATATATTGCAGCGAGGTCTTTTTGCAACCTCTCGCAGTTCCTCCTGTCCGTTATGGTCATAAGTATCCTGGTGTCGTCCGCGAATGACGATGCAGTGGCGTGGTTCACAGCCACATCTATGTCGGCGATGTGAATGAGGAAGAGGATTGGGCCGAGTACCGTTCCCTATGGTACTCCACTCTTCACCCTAGCCTCGCTCGATCTCGAGCCTCCTACAACGACAGCTTGCAGTCTTTCTGTTAGGAAGCTGTGGATCCTGCCAGCAATTCACCTCCGACCCCCAGCAGTCTTAATTTTCTGACGAGCACTCCATGGACAACTTTGTCAAGCGCTTTCGCGAAATCCAAATACACCACGTTCACCCCGGCCCCCTCCTTCAGCATGGCCAGGATTTGGTGGTGATGCTCCAGTAGCTGAGACAAGCAGGAACGATTTCGTCTAAAACCGTGTTGCCTTCTGATGAAAAGGTCAGCCTCTTCCATGTACTGCACCAACCTTCTGGCAACAACCTTCTCAAATACTTTGATTACGTGTGGTGTTAATGTAACCGGCCTGTAATTTTGGGTTTGTCTCTCGCACCTCTTTTGTAGATAGGTGTTATTAGCCCTAGTTTTAGGTCACTTGGAACATTTCCTTCTCGCAATGATGTTTTCTAGAGAAAAGTCAGAAGGACCTTTAGTGTTCCGACACATTTTTTCAGTAACACTGCAGGGACCCCATCTGGCCCGGGAGACAAATACGTCGATAATTCTTGGATACTCATCTCTAGATCCGGCGTTTCAAACTCAATGTTCATCAGCTCCCGCCCCCTAGAAGTCCTTAAATGACTCCAATTTCGTTCTCGTGCCTTGAGTATCGGGGTTCGCTGAATACTTTTTTCAAACTGCGCTCCCAGAAGTTCGCACGCGCCCTGGTCGTCTTCAACAAGGACATCGTTTTTTTTCAGAGGCCCCACTGAGGCTCTGATTTTGGCCTATGACTGGGCATATTTGTAGAAATATTTGGGATTCTCTCGAATGGCAGACACTGCTTCCGCCACCGCAACTTGTTGCTCGGCCTCGTGTGAGTCCTGTAACTGCCGTTCACTTTCCTCAATATTATCCCTTAGATGTTCCAGCCTCCGCCTCTACATATTCCTGAAGGCGGCAATTATCTGGTTGTTCAAGCTCGCTCGTTTCCTCATGAGGATCCGTCTGCCCCTCGGAATTATGTGCCGTTTGGGGGTCATTTTTCCCGGCGTGTGCCGCACGCATACCTGCAGTAATACTTCGCACAGCTTGTTGTACATTGCTTCGGCGTTTAACTCCAGGAACTCAGATCTGCAGTCAATTTCGAGGAGTTCGTTCCCAATGGGCTTCCAGTCTGTTCTTCGATGATGAAAATGTAGCCCAGCTAGCCCCTCTCGAGGTGTAGGTCTTGGCTGGGTTCGCCTCTCAATTGTTGTCTCGACCACCATTAGTCGATGGTCTGACAGTGCGGTCTCCTCAACACGAATATCAGCTACCAGTTCTTCATTGCTGGTGAAGAATAGATCCAGGATATTGCGTTCGCTTGTTGGTACCAGCACCTGCTGACTTAGCAAGTGCACCCTAGCAAATCGAAGTAGTTGTGTTGCCTGGTTTCTGGCCTGATCTCTGCGCCGTTCCAGGTGTGGCATGCATCCATAAAAACAGTCCAGGTGTGGCCATCGTATGTGTGGGAGATTAAAATCTCCCGCAACCACAATATTTGGAGAAAGTTCACCTAAGTTGGCCACCTCTGATTCTATTCTCTCGAGAGTTTCACTGAATTTTTCCGGTGGGCAGTCAGGTGGTCGGTATACGATAGCTATGCACAGTTGGAAATGGGAGATGTGGAGTATAACATGTTCCACATATCCATTGGAGCCTAAATGCAGGGGGACTGTTTTTGCCGCGAGGGAGTTTCTGAGGTAGACTATAACGCCTTCTTTTCTCCTCCCTTCTTTTCGGTCTGCTCGGCAATGTTGAAAGTCTTTCAACTCGATTTCTCCATTTTGGATATCCTCTCTTAGGTGGGACTTGGTTAAGGCAAGCATTAAGCTGCTCGGATCTTATTTCAGTAAGTTCTTTTGCTGCAGATTTTGTCTAAATTACACGTTTGATAATAATGATTTATCATATATGGGAACCCTGATTATTGACCAGAAGACAAAATACAACGAAAAGCACTCACCCAGAAGTAATGATGACGTCATCATCCCTGGCAACGAACCACAGGTATCCGTCCTCGTCAACGTATCCGCGGTCGCCGGTGAGGTAGAAGGAACCTCGGAACGCCTGCGCTGTTTTCTCGGGGTTGCCGAGGTAGCCTGCGCAGGGCCACAGTTCAGTTCCTCGTCGGTGTCATTCGCATGTAAACTTAAATTTTAAAGTGCATCATTTTTTGTGTTAGGGGTTTCGGGATATAAATTTTCCAGAAAAAAAAAACACTTTTTTGAAAATCTGATAGCCGCCTCCGTTTCCACAGAGATGCTGCTTTGAAGTCGTGCGAGAGGCATATTGCGGTTCATTTATAACTTCATAGGTTCTAGGTATTCGGAGCAACGGTGCATTCTTGTTCGAGTTCGTGAATGTTAAATGCGATTGAGATATATGGTATCGAAGTAGCTTGCATTCCGGAAAAATTTTGCTGTGTTGAGGTTATACAAAAACACAATTTCGAAACCATGCTCGAAAATTCTTATTGGAGATTGTGATAAGCTCGAGCATTAGAATAATTTCTTACCGGTGAAGAGGCCGTCTGGATGTCTGGGTTTAATCTTGACCGCGACCTGGCCCTCGACACCAGTCGCCTCCTCTTCAAGATCTTCATTGATGACCTATATGGTCAATGAACGCGATTACATGAAAGTGAACTTAATTGAATGTGTTAACACTTAATTGTGAACAAATATCTGTTTATTTGTCCATAAGCAGGCATTGCTTCCAGTTACCTAAACAAAAAATTATTGATTGATAATTTTTTGTGTTCCGTTTCAACGTAGAATATAATTCATAGAAAAACAATTTTATTTAAAAACTACATTCAGGGCACTCACCCTGATGTCGTAGCCAGGAACTGGTTGCCCCATAGAGCCAGGCTTGATTGTCATGCCGGGCAGCGTGCAGCACATCAATGTTGTTTCACTCTGGCCGTAACCCTCGTAGATATTAAGGCCTGCAAGTATGACATGCGGTATTCCACAAGCAAGCGTGATAAGTAGTACCCTTCATAAGTATAAGCATCTAGTTAGAAATGCTCATAACCACTAATTAATGCTAGCTTTTTACTAGTGATCATTTACTTATCATCGCAGTATTTTTTTAATGCAATGCCCTGGTTTAAATTTAGAAAAAATTATTGATAATCCTATTGATATTTTTTAGTGTTGATGCAGTTGATTATTATTTGCAATAGTCACCTATATTTATGATGTATTTTTTAATTATTTCATAAGTTAGTGAACTTATCTACTGAAAAAAATTTATCTACTGAAATACTTCTTCAATCAATAAAAGCAATTTTGTATAGTTTTTTCACTGAATTGAATCAAGATGACATGATATAGTTTTACGGGTGGTCTCGTTCTAACAATCAAATGATGGATTCAATTTTTATCGTGGAATGAAATTCTATACACACATATCCTCCACACATATACACGTGTGATTAACGTACAATTATACAAGTCCTCGAGCTATTTGCATTTTGTGTTAAATAAAACACTTGTCTCTCTGCTGTAGAGATTTTACATTAAACAGATAATATTGAAGAATATTACGATATTGTAAGCAAAACAGAGTATTTTTTTTGCTTCAACAAACTTGAATCACATTTGTCATAGGATTAATTGCCACATTAAACACACTTATTAGTACATGTTAACAATTAGCATTGATCTGCAATCACCTATATTCTAGTAGGAGATATACTCATTAATTTTTTTTTCAACAAATTTGATTATAATAAATTTAACAGTAGGCATGAAGCGGAATTAAGTTTGATATTGATGAGCAGCATTCAAACTAATTTACAATCTTGGCATTACATTGTCAAGTCAATGACTCATGATAACGAAATACATCGAGTCCTCATCTAAAAAAATATAACTTAGTACTCACTGCAGTGAGTGACAGAGAGCGCATTTTCTCGTCGACGAAAACGTGAAGTCACGGACGGACAGACAGACGGACGGACGGACATGGTGAGCACAATAGTGCATTTTTTTCATAAAATAGAAAATACGCTAAAAATATAATCGAGGAAGGGTTTACAGGTTTTACCAGTTTTCTTGGTCCAAGTCTTCAGGACGCTGGGGTTGAGAGGCTCGCCCCCACTCACGCAATGACGAAGACTTCTGCAAAATATAATCTTGCGAGCTTTGCATAATTAAATAACGTTGTTGTACGTCAATGAGCAATAGATTGCGATATGAAAGAACAGATGTTGCAAAAAAGGAATCGTCGAATGCATTGTTTTTGTGTGGGAGTAGAAGGAATTAAATTTGAAGAGCAAATAGCAATTTTGGGGAAATTCGTTTTCCGACTCTGTTTCTTTGATGTAGACACCATCCAATTGAATCATCACCAAATGATTTTTCAATCAAGCTATTTTCACAGTTTGCACTAGGACATTGTAAGTTACACATGTGTATAATTATAGGTAATGAAATAGTCAGCCAAGTTTCATAAGCACCAGCAAATTATAGCGCTGAACAAGTGATAGCCCCTGTCAATGGTTGAACTATATAACTAATATAAGGTTGACCCACGAGAAGTTCCGCCTTTCAGTTCAGCTTTCTTGTTACGTCACTGAGATCGAGAAACGTAAACAATCCCGTCACTCCCATGACGGATTGGTTGACTGGTATGATCGAATCTCGGTGACTGGTCAATGCCCGTGACGTCACTGAGATCAGTGACGTCACAGGCTAACAACGAACTACATCCCAAAAAATGGGCCTCTGATGGGTCAACCTTATACTAGTTCAACCATGGCCCCTGTCCACCTATACGTACAGTCAGATGTGGGATTGTAGGTTTGTGTGTCTGAGAGGATTTTAAGTTACAGCATTTCACGTTGTCATTCTAAAATGTGTTCCTATAACGTACAAGTTTCATATTCTCTGTACCATTGCTATGTAAATAAAATAATTCAAATTTGGCTTCAGATACCTCCAGAAGAAATTGATATTATCATGTTGATATTCAATTATATCACTAAAACTAATACGGCTGGTTACCATGCAGCTCATCATCGAGGATAACTGGTCATGATGATGATCACTTGTCTGGTAAATCTTATCACATTTGTGAAAGAATATTTTCGTAAAGCAAAAATGTTGTAAAATAAGTGTTTTTATTTGGTGGGGCCGGGCTAGAAAAAAACTAGAATTTTTCTCTATGTATAATTTGTCAAGTACATAAATCACGACTACAGTAGCTCAAGATTTAAACTCTGTTGTGAAATTACATCAAATCCTTGTGTAAACCGGCATGCATTGAATGAAAAAGGCGGCTTATTGGTCAAAATTTCAAGCATTGGTAAAAAAATCCGAAGACAAATAATTTATTGAATGTAAAGATTTTAAATATGTTTCTAACTCATCCCTCGATATTTCGTGCTGATATTTCCCTTTATGAAACAAAAACTATCCCTTTGCTAAATGTTGAACAAAATAAATATGAAAGATTATACAATTTTTAATATTTCCCGAATATTTAACTTTAATTGCATAACTATTTCTAACGAGTACAGAGAGCTATAAAACAAATAACTTATGGCCTCCCACAAACGCACCTTAGTCATTCTGTAGGAAACCTAGGTATAGCATTACCCTTGGGGTTTCCCGCTTACTTGTCGCTATAATTTGCCTGAGAAATTGCGCTATAATTCAAACGCTTCATTCAATTAGCGCGAATTTAAAAATGCCAATGAATTCTCAAATAATTAATTTAAAATCCAGTCATTTTTCAAAAATTTAACATTAAGTCACAATAACCCAGAAAAAAAATTATTTGAAATGTTCGAAGTAAGTACCTATTACATTATCACATACGTTAATTTATGAGCATGACTACTTTCAAGTTCACAATTTTTTGTGTTGCCCCAATATCGAAACATAGAAATGTTACCAGTCCTGGAGAATGCATCGAAATTATCAAGCTATATGGAAAAATTAAGAAAACTGCAACATGTACTTCACTAATAAATACACTAAAAATATAAATTATAATAGATGCTGCCCATACGCTCTGTGCTTCTCTGCAGCAAGAAGTACAATAACACGATAATTATTTCTCACTTGAACGTGCAGCTCTCGAGCGGCAGCTGCACTAGCGCCCTGTACGCGGCCGGTGGAGCGCATAGCACGCTGATCGGCTCGCGTTGTAGAGTCGCTACAGTTTCTACAGGATCAAACCTCTCCATCTACGTAGACAAGTTGGTTCTTGTTAAAAATTATAGCTAAATTATAAATCTGACATGCTCCCAATAAAATTCCTTAATGTTAAAACATTCGTTTTTAGTAATTTTAGAACAAAACAGTAGCTTTGAATGAAACACAAACTGCAATTGAATATAAAGATAAAGAAAGAATAGTATAAGGTACGTAATCATTTTTTACGTTTAATTTGTGAAGGCCGTGATGCGTACAGCAATTATCGTCTACAACAGCTTTTAATTGCTCAAATGAGACTTGCAAGACTTCCATATCAGAGCACAGTTTCATGGTGCGTTAAATTTTTTTAAGTATTAAATGAGTTTACTATTTAGTCTTCGCTGATCAATGAAAAGCTGTTGAGACGATAATTGCTGTACGCATCACGGCCTTCACAAATTAAACGTAAAAAATGATTACGTACACGACTGAGAAATAATTCGAGACGTGTTTTATTAGGGTTCAGAAGCTAGGGCTGCAACGCTGTACTTATATGTGAGATAAAAACGTAAATTTCAATTCTTTTTTCTGTGCTCCTATTAACGTAATTAAGTGTTTTTTTCATAGTTATCCTAATCAAGTTTACTAAAGCAGTTTCTAGATCAAAGTGATCAAAGTATCAATATAATGTTTGAAAATGAATGAAAAAGTAACATACTTGGTGTACAAATGAAGAGGCTCCCGCCATGAGAGGGGCATATAGACCGGACCAGATGGATTTGGCCCAGCCCGTGTCTGCCACGTTCCAGAAAACATCGTCTGGACCTAAATCTAGCCACCTGCCGAAAATAAGAAGCCGAATAAGAAGTTTTTATAGGGAAATGTCAGTGTAGACGACAAAAACATTTCCCTACGTTACTTATTTATCACCCAGAAAACATCGTCTGGACCTAAATCTAGCCGCCTGCCGCAAATAAGGAGCCGAATGAGAAGTTTATACAGGGAAATGTCCGTGTAGACGACAAAAACATTTCCCTATGGTACTAATTTATCACCTTGTGTCTGCAAAAGTATTAATATCATACGCACATACGTATATCTTAGACACCTCCACAGAACAGATATTCTCAATCCTAGGGCTAAAAGAAGGTTTCAATAATGATTTTAGAATGCGAACAGTTATATAATGATTGCGAATATTACGAATATTAATAACAATGATGAAATAGCTGTAATTTTTGTCAATGATTTTAGAATGTAAGTACGCATATACGTGATTATAAAGAAAAATGACTTATAATGCCTTAGTAAATCAATCAGCTCCTTGAGATATTTAAAACTTCATGAAGTGTTAAACGGTCTGATTAGCGAGTGTAAATAGGCCTAGAGTAATTGGCCTAGACATCCTTCCTATATGTTCTACTTGTCGTATCGCATCGGGGCTGCATCGGGGCTGTCGTGAACGTATAATTATGAATGGTGTTACTCAACACCATTCATAATTTTTGAATGGTGTTGAATTTTTTACATCACTACTGCATTCACCAATAAGTACTTATCTATATCATTATTCTCCTTAAATTGCAAGTTCAAAAAGGAAGAAAACGCCAAGTCAATTTGCCATATCATCGTCGAAAACGTTCCAAAAGCCAACTTCATCATAAGTTCAAAATTTAGAGAATACAACTACAATCAATAAAAAAAATAAGCATAATTCTCAGGAATTAGATAAAAACCAAGGTAACGAACTGGAGAAGGAACCAATTTTAAAATTATTCACCAGTAAAACATGCAAGTCAAAATTCGGGAAACATTTCATGTAAAAGATCTTCAAGTCTCTGGACTTTTTTACATTTTCTGATGCTGCATGGATCTGGTCTACGGAGCGTCTTCGAAGAAGATAAGGTGAAATTACCTGTCGTTTTCTTTACTTTAGCTTCCTAAAACATTTATAAAAATTACAGCAGTCCGTCGCTATATCGCGCTAAATACTTCACATCACTTAATACTTCACGTCGCACTTCATCGCGGGTTTTCTAGAAATATTAACGGTAGGAAACATTCGCGAATCTTCGTCGGTTTACGGGTTTCTGAGGAAGTCAATCGGCAGTAAGAGTGTGGGAAGTGTTTATAAACACTTGCAATAATCGAAGCTTACCAGATAACAAAACACCCGAAGGATGAGGGTTTAACGTATATATGGTTTTACAGTCATCACTACTACCTGACGGTAGCTTGGTGGCCTCTGGCGTAGCTGAAATGCTCATGAGGGACCATCTTTGGGTATCCAGTAGTTCCTATAAGAAGAATTTTTTCATACGCTGTGCAAATGACTGCTTACTTAAGATAGAAATTGTTATCAAAGACACAATCACTCTATTCAATCACTCTATTCGGATTTAATAATTAATAAGTTTCAAATGGGTAAACCTTTTTAGTTCTTCTTTAAAAATACAGAAGGCAACATTTGATGCAATAGGTAGTATTTGATCTATTTTATAACATGAGCTAAGTAATTTTATGCGTTTAAAAATAAGACATATTGATAAAAACACGGTAAGATTATTTAGTAAAAACGTAATTCGTCCTTGGAAATTTGTTGATACACTCTCAACCCGATCAATATATCACCCTTCTCTATAACAGTTACTTAACCCTTAATATCAATATATCACCATTCTCCTAAACAGTTACTTAATAAACACTTTAGCTATCAGCAAACTTTATTGACTTGTTTGCGACAGTCGTGAAGATTTACTTTTCTCTTTTAATTGGCAATTCTCGCCAATGCATCACTCTGACTACATTGATGCTGAGGTCTTGAAGTGTTATACTTGAGCCACACCTGAAGTGAAGAAAATATGGCAGACGTAATGTGGAGGGAGGGCAGTCAGGAAAAAAATTTTGCGGTGGTGCTGTGGGGGAATGAAAAGGACTCCCGGAAGGTCGTAGGGTAGAGTACAACAGTTCAGGGTGGGATGACCAATAACTTAGTAACACCTCTACTTAAGTGCGGGCGTTAAGTGGGGGATTGCCAGATGTCGCAGTCGAGTAAACTGTCTCTGCTTCTGCCGTCAGCCATGCAGAAAAGGTTCACTATTGATGCTGAGGTCTTGAAGTGTTATACTTGAGCCACACCTGAAGTGAAGAAAATATGGCAGACGTCATCAGGCTGCGTGAGGTGACAGGCAATTGCTGGACGAGCGAATTTGGCGTTGAGCAGTTCCTCGTAGCGTACCCAGCCCTCGCTTCGATAAACAAATTAGACTTTTATGATTATTAGGCAACAACAGTAATACATCATTACGAGGCAATATGAGGCCTCTATTCTATTATTTAAACTTCGCCAAAGTTTTCGTATCTCTACTATGATAAACAAATTAGACTTACGTCCACGGCCTCCAGCAGGTCAGGTCCGCAGAAGACGCAGTCTGCGCCGCTCTGCGCCAAGCGGTACTCGAGGTCACGTCTCTTCAGTAGCTGCGTACCCACAGAAATAGTCATACCTGGTCAAAACAAAGGTCGGTAAATACAATTGTTCGCACGTTGAAAATGTAGTACAAATTACGTAAATTGTTGGTAAAGTACTGAGCGCTTTTCATTTCAACTTTCGATCCATAAAATGCTTCTCGGCGCAAAATTCTATCTAAATAGGCTTCCATCAACGCCATCATTCCTAAGAATGAAAAAGTAGAGTAAATTTCTCAAAAATTCGCCATGCATTAATTGAAAACTTTTCTCAGTCCAACTCAATTCCCAGTTGAAATAAAAGTATAATAAATTAACACACAATTTATTATACTGAAATTAGTAAATGTCAGGTTGTCCACCGTCATCAGCCATACTTTCAGTTACATTTACCACGTCACATGCCGTGAAGTCATTATAGCACGGCTACATAAGCTCCTCAAGCATCCCCTGAGACAGTCGCAAACCAAAATCTCTTAGCTACAGTCGCAGCCAGCCTCTACATATATGCTTAAACTTAAGACGACTCCGACAATCGGGTCGCTTTTGCGATCGTATCAATCTAGCTACCTGATCGGTACCTGTAGTATAACTGTATAACACATCCCGTGTCTAACTCTAAATAATTACTACCTTAGAATGTCACTCTTTCATTCGCTTTATTATATTGTATGGGCAATAATTCGAACCGAAAACCCTTGAGACATTATACATAAGTAATTCTTATTCAAGTGTCATAAAAAAGACACATCTGACATAAATGAACAAGGTTATAAACGTGTAATTACATCCAGTTTCCATACATTTTATTAGTCCATTTATGTTTTAATATCTGTATTTTGGAATTTCGGTTGTGCAAGTTGAGTGTTGTTGTATTCTAGAATTTTCGATTGAATTGCTCCCCAAAACGTTCACTAAAAAGATGTAGGGATTTCATTCCTTTAAATTATAAAAATAACACTCTACCGCTCATCCGATTCTTCACTTGCTGCCAGTGACGAGGTAATTGCTTCTATTTTAGTAGACTTCTACCGGCAGTCTACCCAGCAATTTCTACCCCATAAATTTCTCCTGCATAGCACCCCTGCTACCTGACGCCTGTCCTCCGCATCTGCAGCAGCTGCAGGCTCCTAATATCTGCTAAGACTCTGTTTCTTTTCACATTTATGCTCTCATATTATTTGTCCTAGTGTGATAGTAGCAGGAATTATTTAAATTTATTTCTCGTGGGGTAGCTAGGTAGGATTTAAATGCGTCTCACAATAGTTTACGTTGGAGGTAAACATTTGGAACGGTGAATAGGAACTAAATTACCTTCCGGCTTTGTTTAGGGTTTACTATAGGTAGATGGAGGTTTAATGTTTCATACTTCTTCTAATTTTGTCTTGAGCATTTAAGCGTCCTACCATCCTTCCTGTTCTCTTAGGTGACGCTTCTTCCTACTTTACACTTTTCTTTTGTTAAGAGTTTCAATCCTCAGCTTAAAAGCGTTGGCGCTCCAAGTATGAACGCGTTCAAGAACAGACTAGATAAAGCTATGGAAAAATATATGTTCAGACTTGAAATGCCTAGCACCATATCGAACCCGGTACAAGTTTAGTAGCTATTTCAATCTATCGTCAGTCCTGAAAAGATCCGGTCAAATGACACGATTTTAGATCTTCTGTGAACATGTCACGAAAAGTATGTAAAAGAATCAGCGACAGGCCACATCAGGCCTACTCTTCAGTGCCGACATCACTATGTTATGTTAATAGTTGTAATATCGATTGTACACTGACTCCCAACAAATTTAGGCGTGTGCCAATTTTTCATAATTATTAATTTATACTGTCATTTACTGCTACATTTATCATGACTAAAACGTCAGTTCGACCGATGCTGTAATGTTCCTTTTTTTTCCAGAATGCTCAACCACGTCCGCACTTGAGATTCCTATACCGACGGTCATGGCCCTTGCGTTAAATTGTTCTTTGCCATCCGTTGTGAACTATTGGATCCCATCAATGCTTGCGGATGAAAAACCTTAGTTTTGATATCCAGTTACCCATGGTCTTTACTCAAGTCTCAACTGAAACCTACCTTCACGATTTACTTCATGAACTAAGAGGAGCCGAACCTAAAAAATTCAAGTTTACTAGAATTTGTCGGCTAAAACTTTTAAATTTTAATTAGCAAATTTTTGTAGAAAATAAACATTAACATTCGAAATTTTTAGTTATTTTACGATTCAAGTAACCAAATGGTTGTGAATCATGAATAAAATCTATCCTTCGCAATTATTTGAATTGCGTAAATTTCCTATGCTTTCGCTGCTACAGCTCTAGTGAAACTGGTGGTGAATTTTCCAGCTGATGAATGACTGAGACCATAATAGCATTTTAAAATGCTTCAGGGATTCAAATGCTGCACATCAATCAAGCATTCAAACAGCAGAGAAGCGACGGTGTATGTTAATGGAAGTTTTATTAGGAGCTCACTCGTTGAACTTGACGTTCCCCGTGGAATGACTGGCTTTATTATCTAATATCTCACATGGAGATAAACATGGGCTCGTGATAAGTCTTATCACATGCAGTTGCTCTCGTCTCTAATTAATTCTGCAGATACCTATTGACTTAGAATACAAATGTTGCCAGCAATTACACAGGCTGAAATTATATTGTATCCGATGAAGCCAGTATATATACTGCTCGATAAATGCAACGTAATAAATGGACAGGAAACTGTATTTTTACTGCGTTAAAATGGGTCAAAAAGTTTGATAACATACAGCATGTGATGCATTATGTTTGTTGAAGACAATAAACTGTAATAAAATGATGCCAATAATTATATTTATTGGATAATTTGTGAGTAAATATGTTCTAGTAAATTAATTATTCCGTACATAAAAGAATTATGTATGGCGAATATATCGTAATGTCCATAAGATATACTAAATCCACCACTAATACAAGATCTGTTTGATCGTATATTGACAGCTCGTTGAAATATAATTGATTGAGTTCCCAAAATTTATAAACTTGATGCGAAATTTCGAAGCGAATAGAACTGTAACTAATTAGATAAACTACTCAAAATTTCCGCAAATTTTTTTTTCTAGCCAAAACTTGGCATCAAACGCTCTTCCTTAGACAACCTGATTTTGTTCAATAGTTGAACTCAAACATTTTTAGGCGAACGTAGGCGTAAGGAAATGTACAAAATAAAAAACAAAATTTTGTTATATTTTAAACAAAATAAAAATAATATAAAATAAACTCACCGCACCAGTAAGCGGCGAGGTTGACTTGCCACCACTCGACGATCTTGGGCAGCACCACCAGCGCGAGGCGCGGTCGTCGTGCGCCCTCAGGCCAACAGGCGCCAAGGGACGCCAGCGAAGCGCTGCTGAGGGCGGTCGCGAGGGCGGTGGAGTCGTCCAAGAGTTTCCTGTAGCTGATCTCGTGTCGCTTGCTCCTGCCGTCCGATAATATCAGCGCAAGCTTGTCTCCCTGCAACAAATTAGATAAAGTTTACAGGCACAGTGTTCGCATAGCCTGCTCGGTCGCTTGCTTCTGCCGTCCGATAATATCACGCAAGCTTGTCTACCTGGAACAAATTAAATAAAGTTTACAGGCACAGTTTTCGTATGGCCTGATCGGTCGGCTGCTTCTGCTGTCTGAATATAAATATCCAAAGGGTTTTGTGTTCGTCTGGGATTGTGAAAGAAAACATGAACCATTTTCGCGCGTATTACTCAGCAATCATGTTTCCTGCTTCCTGAGTGCAACATTAACAAAGACTGTAGCACCTGACTGTATGGTCGTTTATATGACTAGCAACACTAGCAACAACACATAAAAACTATACAAATTCCAACGATCAAGCCTCTTTTGCCTTTAGTTGGGTTTAAGTAAATGAAAATAAAATATTGGTAGTTTAAAAGTTTAGTGTAACAGTTAGCGATGTGAAGATTTAAATGAGTTACCAACTTCATCTAAAGTCTCAACGTTCAACGTTTTTTCACCCATCAAGTGCAGAAATATCTTCGGGTAAAAAGTTAGGTAATCTTAGACGATAACTTGGAAATTACCTGACTCTCAGCAATAGGGGAAACTGCATCTCTTGTCAAGTTAAAACCTTTTCCTTCGTTGAAGCGCAAATGAAGACTCCGGTGCTGTGTTTCAACTAATTGGAATTTGCGGAGAGACTGGCTTTGACACCAGAAACAATTTATGAATAAATTCGAATTTTTTTTATATCTTTCACCGGTCGGAATTTGATTACTAAGCCCGCGATGAAGAGCTTTACTGAATGACAAAGTTTGGGCTCTTAATAAACACTTGAAACCTTTGCTGCTCCTCATATTGCTGCGCAAAAACGTAGCAATTATTGCACAAGGCCACTCGTAGTGTATGCGTCGCAAGGAAAAATTAATTTGGTATGAATATTCATCCGTTCATAGTTAACCAATAAATAATATAAAATTTTTAACTTAGTTGTCACATTGCTTCACATGACTACAGATAAAATTTTGATCGACGCAAAACTTATTTAAACATAACAGAAATTGGTCACAAGAAGCTAGCTGCTTCAGTACGTTCCCTGTCTACCAGCCAACACGCACTGCACTGCGTAGCATCGGTACGCCTTGTATCACTAACGGGACGGGCATCTCTTGATTCTTGAACCGGTTTCCTCTTGATTCTCGGACCGGTTTGTTTGTGGTCGTAATCCCAGCTGAACGACCGGGACTTACTTAACATATTTAATTATGATAAATTCCGACTAGCAGTAAAAAGATAGGTTGAATACATGAGAAAATAACAAGGAGTGTAGAAGCACGACCTAAAAAATAATTAATGGATCATAATTACCGGCATAAAAACCAACATTGGAAGAAGTGATACTCTTCACGAATCGTTTACTATACTCCCTTTACTTCAGCATATAACTCAGAAGCGAGTCCATTCTTCAATTTTCTCATATCTGAGGAGTAAATACACTCAGCGACTGTTTATCCTTTAGATATCAGCAGCAAACATATGGGAATAGATAGAGAAGTTTTCGACTCCACATTGAATGCGAAGAGAGAATACGCCTGGCTGATGAAAATGTTTCTTTTTTACTACGAAAATAAGCGTTGGTGACCAACGCTTAATAAGAACAATTTGCCCAACAATTCCAACCCTTCCAACTGAAAGAAAAGCCAAAATAAAAAACAAGGAAATAAAGGCAAAAAATTAAAAACAAACAAAAAGCCAAAAAAAATCAAAACCTTAAAAAAAAACGTTCCGAAAACAAGCCCAACCGCAAGTCCGAAAAATAAGGCAGAAAAAAAAGAAGAAAAAGTAAAAAAATGGGAAGAAAGAAAAAGAAAAAAAAACAAAAAAAGTTCAAAGACGACAAGGAAACAAGGAACTAAACAAACACACACACCAACCACAAAGAACCAGAACCTAGAGGAGAAGATGACACGCAACACCCCCATACCTGCAGACAACAAACAACCGATCAACCACCCGAGCTAACAAAAAAGAAAGAACCAAGCAAATTGACCAAAGAATGAAAAACTCAATACCAAGCGACACGTGCGAAAAAATGAGACACCCAAAACATATATAAAAACCAAGTGTAAGAATAACATGATAACAAAAGGTAGACTCCGGTCCGGACAAAAATCATCACCAGACGACCTCGAGATCGAAAAGATTTGCAAAAGCGACAAATAAAAGACAAGACTAAAGGTAAACAAATAAATTTAGAGGAGAACAAAAAACAACTCTAACCGAATTAGCAAAACCAATAAAAATATATAAAAACACAACAACCAACAGAAGAAAAAGCAAATAATCTAAAAAAAAAAAAAGTGCAACAAGAAAACGAAACCTACTAAAAATAGCAGAAAACGTCAATTATAGCCAATTTTAATTTTCGCATTCAATTTGTATTCAATTTATGAAATGCACCAATATTATTGATATGGCACTGCTGAATAAATACTTATTAACCAATTATAAATCAGTAAATAATTTATGGCCCAAGTCGATCAATTGATGCTAAGTGCTTATTTTAGCTTCATATGCATATAAAAGCGAAGCGCGGTTACTCTCTCCCAGCTAGACCAAATATATATGAGCCTCATATGCATATTATAGCTAAGCTCGGCTACTCTCTCCTAGCTAGACCTAATATTTTAGCATTATATACATATTATAGAGAAGCGCGGTTACCCTCTCCCAGCTATAGACCCAATGAAGTTAATCTGAGGATGAATTGCTGGCACGTGTATGTCTGTGGGTGGCTGTTGCTTATTTATCCGCATTCAATTATTCTCTTGAAATTTATATCGTGCATGCATATCATCTCTTTTTCGTACGACGCCTATCTATATACGTACATATATTTCGCATTTTATTGTGAAATATTTTTGTACATTTCTCTGGAAGTTTTGTACCAGACGTTGCGATAATCTTTTGGAAGAATAAATAAGTACATTTTTGTTTCATATCGTGATGATATTTCTATTCGCTTGTTTCACTAATACCAAAAATTGTTCGTTTCTAGCGAGTCCACAAAGATAACAGGTCGTGATGTAGAGAGGTAACTGTTTGGTTAACCTTTAAATATCAATGAGAGAATGTTGATGTCTTTCTATTAAGTGCTATAAATTATGTGTTTCCTGAGCGATAACATGGAAAAAGTACTCTGGAAATATTGGTAATTACAAAAATTCTGACCATAATAGGAAGTTGAAATCTATTATTAAAATGAAATTAAGTCCGTGACTGGAACTACATGCGTATAAGGAAAAAATTACTACATAATAATTTAAATAGCAGGCATAGTAGAAGGAAAAATTTGCATGTTCTCGAAAAACACCTATTGCCGGATTTCCTTTCTTTGTGAGCGTTAATGGCATGAAAACTTTAAGGTTTATGTGCTGAATTATTTAAAACGATTGTAATAGTGAATGACCTCATTGTTTTGAGTGAAATTAATTGAAAAATTGGGAGAATTTATCTGGCATGTTCCTAAAGTGTAAATCACTCACTCATGTCTCATATATTCTTAATCTAAGATATTAATCAAACTTTGTTTGATGTCTCAGTATGGCTAGAGCAAAGCCGTTGCCATGCTTGGAAGTTGTATAAGCTTCAGCAGCTTCCTCTCCCAGATAAGTAAACAAAGAGCTACATAATTCCTTTAATGGACTGAGGCGTGAAAAATTCAATCGAAAGTATGTTAGTTTCCTTAATTTTTAGGCATCCATATTTGAGGATGTCATCTCACAAAGTAAACTAAATAAGTTGTGCTATTCACCCTACGTTTACGATCGATTTGAATATCCTAGCCAGGCAGTGTGAAGATCAGCCAGTGTAACCCTCTCTACCCTCACGCTACGGCTTGACTGTGACCTCAATATAACCCTCGTGTGATGGCAGGGCAGCCCTCAAGCGAGGGCAGCAGCTAGCAGGGCTCAGAAGGGTAGAGCTTGTTCAGGAGTTGAGACCTTCACTGCCGACGATCACTTAAAAGGCTTGTAAAAGAAATGCTCATAAATATAATAAATAAGAGGTTATTTAGTAACAAATGCTAAAAATACAGCGTAAAACAAAAATCTATAAATAGTTTAATATAAAATGTTGGCTTTTAAATGCACACCATTTAATCTGATTATGATAGAGGAATAAAATCAATGGCACAATTAATGACGCAAACAAAGCAATTGCTGATTAATAGAGTTTTTAGCGCACAACGTAATGGTAGTAATAATACATCAATAAATCAATAGCATGCTTCTCCTGTGTGTGAATGACAGGAATTACTTCTATTCGAGGAAGTTGGCACAGCTATGGAATTTATTTGTTTTTTCAGTTAGTAACATTTTGTTTTGTACAAAATTATTTCAAACAAAAGATCTTTAAAAAATATCTGGTCTAATTCAAAAAATTACTCCAGGACCTTTGAGTGAATATTCCTAATCAACAAATATTTACTTATAATTGAAGAAGATGCGTCAGAATCACAACGCAACATCCTAGCAGCTCGACAAAGGAGGCAGCAAAATAAGCAAACAGTTTCATTGCGGCCTCGTAACTTATTTTATGTCCACTTTAAACAAAGGCTTAGTCCTCTTTTGTGTCCCACGCTTTGTGGGGCAACGTCGGTATTTACAATAATTTACAAAATGCGCAATGAATTTAATTTGAAAGATTTTAAAATCTATTAACCACAGTTCATTTTTCTTTCTCATTTATTGAATATTTTACCTTCTTCTTTGCACATAGTACTCCCGGACACGAAAATTAAATGCTGAAGACATTTCATGAAAGGAAATAAATGCTGAAGACATTTCATGAAAGGAAGACACCAATGAAATAATATGATACAATGATACATTATGTACCCCATCATATTATTGATATACTCATACGAAACTTTGATCAGAACCTTGTCCAGAACAAAATAACTCAATTGAGTACAAGTTTCTGCCGCTGCTCCAGTTTCTGAATGAAGTGACGTGACAGGCGCTCGTTGGAGGCCTGCGGCGTCTTTGATATGAGCAAGAAACGCCGCCGGCACCACGGCAGCCACCTGCCCCGAACTGCGGTGCGTGCGGGACCATCGATCCCATTAGCTGCCCTAGATTTGTGGTCAGTTTTGCAGGTCAGTCAACTGCCGGCATTTACAGGTGCGATCTTGGATCTCATTTCTGCAACGAGATCATTAGCTGGCAATTTCTTACCAGGAAAATCGACATTGACAGAGGCAAGGCTAAATCAAATCCCTGATTTAACTCGACACCAATTGCTGGTTATATAACTCGTCGAAATGAAATTATCGGCAAAACAGGCATAAAAAATTAAGGTCATGACTAAAAATCGATTGCTTATATTAACACGGATATGATATTGTGCTTTATTTTGCGTTTTTGGGCATGTTGCTATCTTTTCTCGAGAACCATTCTAGCTATAGCATGAGGATGTGTGGTCACTTTTTGCAGTCTTAAAGACGCTCGCGATCTCTAGGAATGAAGTTCCCACAATTCACTAATCAATAATTAAATCGATTAGTTGGCATGATTTGCTATTTGTTCGGTATACCTGGCGCATCGTGCAATGGAGCATTGAATTGACTAGCATCGTGCATTGAAGCAGAGCAGTGCCAGTAACAAAATAGGAAGCTGGCCAAGAGTTTGATTGATGATCGGAAAATTTGGAGGTTTAAGAGGTTGCTTCACCTCAGCGCTCACTGGGTCAGGTGAGACTATTCCATGAACCTTGAAATGAATATAATCCCACAGAAATTAGTTTATAAATAAAGAGGATTAATTTATTTAGATGATTTTACAGTATTTATTCCAAGTGTGGACAGTTGATTTTTCTGGTCGGTATCATTTTTAGCGCATTTTCTCATTTATGAAAAAAAATTCACTATTGTGCTAGCCATATCCGTCTGTCCGTCCGTGACTTCAAGTTTTCGTCGACGAGAAAAGGCGCTCTCTGTCACTCACTGCAGTGAGTACTTAGTTATATTTTTTATTCAGTGTAGGGACGCATTGCAGCGTGGAACGCAACTTGCTTGAGCACAGTTGAATTATAAAAGACT